GCAGGAATGGCCATTGAAGAGTAAACTTGACCCAGAAATATATGGTCCAGCAGAATCAGCAATCACTTCAGAAATTATCAATAAAGAGATTGGAGGCATAATGTCTGTGGAAAAGGTTAAAATCTTTTTAATTAAATTTCTCCAAAGTATTAATTCAATGATGTGATATGAATTATTATTTGAGCACAAACTCATTTCTCTGTTGGGGATTTAGATTATAAATTACTAATATAAGCAATTAACTAAATGGTCTTGCAGGCGATCAAAGAAAAGAAGCTGTTCATGTTAGACTACCATGACATACTTTTACCCTATGTCAACAAAGTACGCAAACTCAAGGGGAAAACACTCTATGGATCACGAACTTTGTTCTTTCTAAATCCAGAGGGGACACTGAGACCCCTAGCCATTGAGCTGACTCGACCACCAACAAATGGAAAGGGCCAATGGAAGCAAGTTTTTACCCCTTCTTGGCACTCAACAAGTGTTTGGCTCTGGAGGATAGCCAAGGCTCATGCTCTTGCACATGACTCTGGCTATCACCAACTTGTTAGTCATTGGTATGCAATAATACCTCATACAACCATTTTAACTTCAAAAGCAATCAATGTAAAGAAAAAAACTTGAAAACAAATGTACAATTCTTTTGATCTTATTCGTATTCTTCAATCAAAATAGTTCGATAATCTGCATCATGGAAGTATGCAGTAAAGGATTGAAGAATGCTAAAAACATTCTCTTTATTATTGATAGAAATTTATTGAAAATTGCAAAATAATAAAAAGAATGTCAGAAAAAAAAGCGTGAAAAGACTGTCACTATCAAGATTACACATATTAATGAAATGAAACTCTAATTCTAATTGAAAAAATATAGTTATTCTATCTTCTTATCTCACCCTTCTAAGTTACATTTTATTAGAATTATGTTCAGTTCCTATGTTTAACATTAAATGTTGTTCTTGTTTGGTAGGTTAAGAACTCACTGCGTGACAGAGCCGTATGTTATTGCAACGAACAGGCAACTTAGTGAGATGCACCCCATAAACAAATTGCTACACCCTCATTTCCGTTACACAATGGAGATTAACGCTCTTGCACGGGAAGCACTTATTAATGCTGATGGTACAATTGAGAGCGCATTCGCACCAGGAAAGTACTCCTTAGAGATTAGCTCCGCTGCTTATGCTCTCGAATGGCGCTTTGACACGCAGGCTCTACCTGCGGATCTGATTAGAAGGTAGTCTTGTAAACTTCAAATACACACGCTGCATGAATATTTGCATGGAATGATACATTTTCAACATTTGTATCATTTCATATCTAGAAAGGAATGATTCTTATATAATATGTAGTTTTAGATAATAATTACGTTTTTATGATCTCAGCCAATATCCATGTAATACGTATCCTACTTGACTATAATCTCTTGGTAGCATTTTTCTTACATGAATAATTGTATATTAAGTGGATGCCGATGAACAATTTTTAATTCTTTCTAACTTACCTAAGTTTGATATATTTTCCTTAATTTTTAGGGGAATGGCTGTGGAAGATCCATTTGCTCCACATGGCTTAAGGCTAACCATCCAAGACTATCCTTTTGCCAACGATGGCCTCCTTCTGTGGGACGCTATAAAGCTTTGGGTCACTGACTATGTCAACAACTATTATCCTGAACCAAGTCTTGTGGAGTCAGATGAAGAGCTTCAAGCATGGTGGACAGAGATTAGAACATCTGGCCATGCTGATAAAAAAGATGAGCCATGGTGGCCAATTCTTAAGACCCCAAAAGACCTCATTGGAATCCTCAATACAATCATATGGGTAACTTCTGGTCACCATGCAGCAGTGAACTTTGGGCAATATGCTTATGGGGGATACTTCCCTAACAGGCCTACAATAGCCAGAACCAAAATGCCCTCAGAGGACCCTACAGAAGAAGAGTGGGAAAAGTTCATTGCAAAGCCTGAAAGGGCACTTCTCAAGTGCTTTCCCTCACAACTTCAAGCAACTAGAGTCATGGCTGTCTTGGATATACTGTCAACTCATTCACCAGATGAGGAGTACATAGGGGAAAAGGTGGAACCATCATGGGCTGAAGAACCCGTCATAAAAGCTGCCTTTGAAAGATTTAGAGAGAGACTGAAGAAACTAGAAACACTGATTGATGAGAGGAATGAAAATACTAATTTGAAGAACAGAAATGGAGCTGGCATTGTCCCATATGAGCTTTTGAAACCCTTCTCAAAGCCAGGTGTCACTGGAATGGGGGTCCCCTGTAGCATATCTATTTAAGTTGACAAACTGATATTATGTTTGTGCCAAGACTGATATGGGTTTTCTATATTAAACAGAAGATAGCTATATAGTCACATAAAATGGTGCCTCAACTAGGGCTGTTCACGGTTTAGACCATCCATTTATAAATTCAATTTGGTTAGTCAAATCTGAATCGGTTTGATTTTGTCTAAAAATAGATTAGATATTTTTTAATCAGACCAATTTATACTCATAAATTAGGTTTTTCAAAACGAACCAATTCAAACTACTTTATAAGATAGATTGATTGAACCAAATTGTTTTTACAAAATTGATTTATTCGAATTTTTTCTTAAAAAAGTTCAGTTTTTATAAACGATTCATTTTGGATCGGAAAAATTTAGTTCAAGTTTTTTTGCATATCCCAAGACTCAACTAGAATTTTCATAAACACATTTGACTAATGTTTCTTTTAGGATGTTCTTGAACCAATGAGAATATTTCTGAGTATCTTTCGTTCTCGTAATGCACAGAATTAATACTAAACAGCACTACTGCGCAACCATAATAATCTCATTCAAAATATTTCAACAATGTCCAAAAATAAACATCCTTTTTCATTCATACCATGAATCCTAATATATCAGTTAACAAAAACTGAACACCATGGAAAGTATAGAACAATCACAGACCCAGATGCTTGTAATTTAAAAAAAAAACCTAAAATTAAACTTGTTGCTGACTAATGACCAAGTTTTCATTTTATTAACTATAGGGGATCATCATGCAACAAGTCTAGTACTTCTGAAGAAAACTCCTAAACCAATGGGCAGAGAGCTTTTGGTATCTTTTCAAATTATCCTTGTAATCGACCAAGTTAATTCCAAAACGCAAGGTGTAGCCAGAATTCCATTCGAAGTTGTCCAGAAGTGACCATGCAAAATATCCTCGTACTTTCACCCCATCCCTAAGCACCAAAATCCAACAAATAATAATAGAGTCAAAGTCATAAACTTAAATCATGAAATAAGCAAAGAGGATGGAGTCACTTACTTGATCGCAATTAAAAGATAATAAAGATGGCGATAGAAGTAATCAATTCTATAAGTATCCATGAGTGCTTCTTCAAGTGATTTGGTTGGATCATTGAACTCGTCCATACCTATAATTAAGTAAAATATGATAATTTTAGTAGTTAAATTGATTAACAGGAAAACAATAATTCTACACATGCAATTAAAGTACTACCATTTTCTGTTATGTAAATTACAGGGTTGTTATACTTCATCTTGATGTACAACAATAGTTCTCGAAGTCCCCTTGGATAAACATAAAGCCAACATGAAGCAGCCTGCGTAGAAATAGCGTCTATTTGTTATTCATCGAATAAATAAATCATGCAACGTATGTGGTACACACACAAATGCCTCATATTTAGTAAATTAAGGAGAATCTTACGTACCCTTGGTCCAATAGGTGTCCCGTTACGTTCAGCTGTCATAAGTCATAGCAGAAAACTTTTTTCATCAAAGACAGTTTTCTTTTTGAAGAACAAAATAAAAAGCAGCATCACAGGTTAATTCCTCTAAAAAATGAAATTATCCAGTAAGGTATTTCAATTTAATTAACTTGTGCACTTTGATTTTCTATTACTCTCGCATGTTCTTAGTCATAACTTATGTTGCCCCAGTTCTGCTTTCCCCTTAAAGGAAAAAGGGTATATAATGTATAATTCTTCATCAAGATTTCTAAGAAAGGTATTCTTACTTGTAACATTGACACGAGAATCTTGGTAATAGCTAGTATTGCTCGTGTTATTAATTGGATTGGATATATGGGCAGCATAATTAGCGGTGTAGTAATTGAGTCCAATAAAATCAAACGAGCCAATAAGTAGCTTGGATTGCTCTTCAGTGAAGTTTGGTAATCGGCTTCCCAGCAAGGATTGCATGGTTTTTGGATAATTCCCTGTTGTAAGTGGTTCCATGAACCTGCAATCAAATCAATTAAGAAACAAGACACTAACACAGTAACAAAGAGATAGTTGAATAGAATTAAGTGTCTGTTTGGATAAACATCTTGAGAAGCATTTCTAGGAGAAAAAAATTAGTAGAAAAAATGAAATCAGCATCTCTATAAGATAAAATTAGCTTATATATTAACTAATTTGTAATTTTTTTTAGAGAAATTATATGTGAGACCTTTTAAAAATTAACTAATATATAAATTAATTTTATTTTGTGAAGAAATTATTTCTTTTTATCTTTCTATTTAATTTTTTCAAAAAGTGTTTCTGGAGAAATTTATCTAAACAAGTTCTAAGTAGTCTTTACCATCCAAACATGAAATCAAGAGCTCGTAGGGCAGCTTGATGATCTAATGTGTCATTTGAGAATGGAACAAACCACTGACAATTTAAGGTGATGCCTATCAAACCATTTTGAGATGCCTGCTCACATTTAAGTTAACTCTTTATACATTCATAATGAAAAACAGAATAAAATGTCCACTACTAACAAATTGGATCATGAATAGGAAAGGGTTAGATGTTCAAGGTTCTCAAGTACTTCACCTGATAATTGGTTTTATAAATTTTAACAGCAGCTGCATGAGCAAGTAGTTGGTAGTGTGAGCTCATGTAGGGCTCTGACCCCATACTGTAACTCCATGGTTCATTAAAGGTAATCCAATGCTTCACTCTATCTCCATATTCCTTGAAGCATAGCTCTGCATAGTCTTGGAAATCATTTCTGCACATAGAAATGTGTGTTCAACATTGTAGAAAATTCAATTTATATAGGAAGACATTGATTTATAATTAATTGCTAATATTCTAACTAGCTTGAATAAAAATTTGTGTCCTGTCACTTACACAATATGAGGACTTAAGAAGCCACCATAGTCATCTTGCAAGGCTTGAGGAAGATCCCAATGGAAAAGGGTCACAAATGGAAGAAGACCTTGATTAATGTAATTCCCATCAATATATATGATTAACACCATGAATATACAGTGATATACGAATACAGAATGGATTATAATGACCATTTGCCAGAAGCTCGTTGATGAGATTGTTGTAATATTTGATTCCTTCTTGGTTTATACCTTGGCTTACTTTTCCTTCTGAATATTTTTATCAGAGTGGTTAATGTAAGCAAAAGATTCTAGCAGCTGAAACTCATAAGGATGGAATTAAATCCAACTTTTTCTTACTTGGCAATATCCTTGACCAAGAGATGGAGAATCTGTAAGCATCCATATTCATATATTTCATGATCCCAACATCTTCCTATTAACATGTTTGATAAAAAGATAGTGAACAGAAAAATTAGAGCTCCTTGCAAGTAATTCACATGATAACCTTTTATGGTCCCTTGTAAATTACATCATGTAAAGGCAAAAATACTAATGTGATACTGTTTAGAGTCATTCATGAATGAGCATGTTCTTAATTAGAGTTGTTAATTTGCTGTATCTTAAACTTTTTATTGGATGTGCCTAATAGACACTATCTTGAACAGTTAAATATAAGTTGATGAACACGCTTACATATATAACAAGACAGAGTGCTGAAAAGATCTCAATATTCGTTTAGATCGTACCTTATAGCGATGATATTGATCAACAGCTACATCTCCATTGCTTCCATCCAATATTTTTTCTGTTTGCAATTACACCAATAAAAAACAGATACATGACAACAGACAGGGCATATTACACCAAGTTTTAAACTAACACATAATTCACATTTCTCAATCGCTAAACTAACATGGATTGCCACAATATAGTTTTGCTGTCAATATGGTTATTGTTGAAAATAGAACATAAAAAACGAGGTATATGACCAAGCAAAAATATAATATATTGAAATTAGAAAATTTGTAACTTAACACATACAAAAGGGAGAAAAATTGATGTGATATATTTAGATTATGAACTTAGTTTTACACATCGAAAATCTTATAACAAGTGTTTAAATACTAAAACTAACTAATTTTTGACTGATTAAAGATAAAAACAAATTATGATTAAACTAACAAACAAATAACATTTGTATGCACAATTTACTTTTACTGAGCTTAAGTAATTTTTAACCAATCTTATAACTAAAATAAATAAAGATTTTAAAATATTTATTTATGATAGAGGAAAATTTTCAATTTCCACCTGTTATTAATTATAAAATAAAAAACCCGGAACAGTTGAATCAAGTATCTTTTTATCTTCCAAATCATTCACCGATTTAAGCAAGGTATAATCAGATAAAGAAAGCAATAAATAGTTATACCTGAATTTTGATGAGCAAAGGTATCCCAAGTACTTAGTCCTCTGCCACCTTCATTTGCAGCACCTTCGTACTGCATCATCCACACAAATTAATTAACACGCGCACACACATGCATGCTTACAACTATATCAGTACTGATATACACACCTGGTAGGCAGAGGAGGCAGTGCCAAAGATGAAAGCTGGAGGAAAACTAGTCCTACTTAGAGAGGAAACATCAAGAATAGGTGCCACAGTTTGGGTGATTGTAACCAAAGAGCTTATAACAAGAGTGAAGACACCAAGGTGAAAGAGATATAGATAAACGTTGAATGCCATACCCTTAATGTGTAACTGTTTGATTACAATAAGTGTAAGTGTATCTGAAACTTAATTATAAATCATGTCAATAAGAAAACTATGACTTCAACATGATAGAGAGAAGAGTGATGGCTTGGAAGATTCGATGTTCAATAAAATCTCCTTTTATTGGTTAAAAATATCCTTCAAGATAACAAGTTACTTGTATATTTGGAGAGGCATTGACATCTATTGCTAAAAGCTAGAATTAAATAATTTCAAGGAAGAAAAAAAACTGAAAAGATAACTTTTCAGTTAATTACTTTTCCAAAAGTTGATGTTATGCGATAATTTTGCAGCTTGACAAGTGTAACTTAACTCATTCATGTGAGGACTGTTTATAAAGAGTGCAGTTGTGGATTTGTGCAGTTACGGAAGATTGTGAAAACTTTAAAATGCAAAGCTAAGGAGAATTTGTTGGTGGGGATGATTTTGTGAGAGAGAAGATAGAAAGCGTTGGATTCCAAAGGGTGTGTGTATCCTAAATCCTAATATTAAGTTTTAGGTTCAATTTGCTACTACCAATCTTTGTATAAACTAGATGCAAAAGATGTATTAGTGAACCCCCTTTCTTTTTATACTTTAGAGTATAATAATAATAATGGAGTTTTTATATGTAAACCCCCTTATTCCTTAATTAAAAAATACAAATGCAAAAATGATGGCGTCAGCAACTGAGCATGGAACCAGATTAAATGGGTGAAAGCTTGGTTTGCGAGTGATCCAAGCATCTGACTTGTGAACTTCCCAAAGTGGTCTGGCATTTAGTGCTAGCTGCTGCATGCACCATGCAGGCTCTGCCTCTGCCTCTGCGCTTGTTATGGATTGTAACCATCTCGAGTTCATCATTAAAAGAGGTCTATTTTAAAAAACAAATTATATAATTGTGATATAATTTTTTTTATATTATTTTAAAAAATAAATTATTGTCTTTTTATATTTATTTTTATATCTAAATATAAAAGTTGTAATATGATTATAAATATTTTTTATGTATTATATTCGTATATATGAAAGAATAAAATATGATTTTACACTCTTTTAAAGTTTTTCAAGTTGGATTTGTCTTTTAAAATTTTTATTCAATTTTGTTTCTTTTAATTTAGAGATGCATCACTTTTGATCATCATATTTATATAATATTTTATAATAAATGATAATATAAAAGTAAATTGAATGAAAAATATAACACATCTTTTTTTTTTTTTTTTTTTTTTTTAATTTTTTTTATTAAATATTTTTTATGTATTATATTCGTATATATGAAAGAATAAAATATGATTTTACACTCTTTTAAAGTTTTTCAAGTTGGATTTGTCTTTTAAAATTTTTATTCAATTTTGTTTCTTTTAATTTAGAGATGCATCACTTTTGATCATCATATTTATATAATATTTTATAATAAATGATAATATAAAAGTAAATTGAATGAAAAATATAACACATCTTTTTTTTTTTTTTTTTTTTTATAGATTTGTTTATATTATGTTATTTGTTTAATGTAATAAAATATGTTATTTTTAATTGAATCATGTATATTTTTATGTTATAAATGTTTATATATAAGGACTCATAACAACAAGTTATTAGTTTGAATGATATTAGAATCTATCTTCTTAAGTAAGTCTAGTTTTTTTTGGTGAGGATTAGTCATTAGTAATTTAAATAAACACTTCAAATCAATATTTTATCATTTTGTTTAGAACCTATGAAATGTCAAGATCAACCTTGATCGCATGCTCTTATAAAATTGTTTTAAGATAAGAGTTGTAAAACTTAAAAATGTGTACATAAGGGAAGCAATCCAACATTTCCAACTTCTTACGTTATGTTTGATTACATGTTTGCAGCTTGTAACTTTAGTTAGTTGGTCGAATGTAGTGTTAACATGTTTGACAAATTTTTTTTTCATTTTGTTAAATGTAAATTACAAACAAACCTTAGTTGAAGCAAAAACTAACTAGAAGGGTATGATTTTTTATTTTTTATTTTTATAAAAAAATTGGTTTGAAAAGTTAATTTCAACTTAATTTAACTATAACCTAAATGCACATTTAGAAACTGTGGATTTTCGTTAGACCATTATTAATATTTTGTTATAATGTAACAAAAAATATATATATTCCCTTTGATTCTAATTATAAGGCACAACTTAGAAGAAGATGAGTGAACCTTTGTATAAGATACTTTACAACTTTTATAAATTACTAATTGTATTTTTCATTTTTTTGTCCTATTAAAGATTGTGAGAATGTATATTTCTTATTTTTAGATAATGAAAAGAGAATTTGAGAAATAAATATTCTCTCACCTCTTAAACTCTCAAATTGTCATTTACCAATTTTATTGGATTGATACATAAGTTTTCATATATAGTAATATTTTCACCTCTCTCATGAAAATTTATTAATAAATAAGAAAGATAAAATTGATATATCATAAATAAAAATTTATTGAACAATTACTTATATTTGTTTATGTTATTTAGTTAAAAGTGTACAATAATAAAAATGGAACAAAGTATATAATATCTAAAATTTTAAACATTATATTATATATCGATTTATATTGTTCAACTAGTGACTTATTGGTATGACCAGTAAATCGAAACCTATCCATTTAGTACCTGGATTGAATTAACGTTAAGTAAAACATAATAAAAAAATGAAGAAGGATGAGATAAAAGTCTTACTTTTTGTTACGTAATAAATCATGAGACAACTTTTTGTAATTACAAAAACATTTATTATCATGGTGATGTACTAACACCATCTCAATCCTTATTATCATCGTCCAAATATCACTACCACTATTGCTATCTACCACCATTGTCACTGACCACCGCCACTTTTGTTTTCATTATTTTTGTTATTGTTATCATTGTCATCAATATCATCACCACTAATATTATTTTCGTTATTATAATTCTTGTCACTATTGTGTTTATTGTTCATTAAGAGAATAATAATTCATTATGATAATAATATTAAAAAAGATATTGTAATAAATTTAATATTATTTTGTTTATGTTGTTCATTATTTATCAAATAGAACAAAAAAATTATCCACTAACTTAAACATTTGTCTTCTATTACTCTCCTTATTTTAATGTGTATCACATCATAAGTGATTGAAATGATGAAGTTTATAATAAAGATGATAGATTCTAATCTTCACAAGTTATGTCATCTCTAAAATCCTTAATTGACAATCTCCTAATTAATGTGCAATACACATGGTTTATTTATTTTAAAAATGTTATTTTCGTATTTTCTCTTTAATTTCAATTTTTATATTTAATTTATACTTATATAATAGTATAAATATCTTGAATAATCATGTAATTGATGTATAGTGTATTCATGACTAATCTCCATAGAAAAACTTGATTAGTTAACTTTCTCTTACATTACATATGTTTTTTTTTCATCTGCAATATATTCCAAGAAAAATAAGTTGTAGGTTAATTATATAAATATTTACTGATAGTAATAAAAATTTTTACTATAAGTTTAATTTGCTTTTATTTAAAAACTTAAATCTCAAAATATGCTTACAAGAGAATTTTTTTGTTTTAACTATCGTAAGAGCATCTACAATGATAGCTCATGAAACAACTCTCTCAAGAAAGCAACGTTACTTCTTAGTCCTGGAAAAAAGTTGCTTTAACTGATAATGCGCAAATCAACCAACAAATATTAAAATTTTTTTTTTATTTTACCGTTGTAAATGCAACAAATTTTTTTTTTCATTTGTATATAAATAAGGGTTTTTCAAAAGAAAAATTATACAACTAAACATCTCAAATTTCTCTCTATCACTCTCAAAAAATTTTCAACTTCTTTTCATTCTATGGATTCAAACCAAAATCCATGGTTTAATTTGATACCAAATTATCACCAACCCACAAATCCAAATTTCTAAAATTCATGGTTTAACAAAAGTAGTTATTAATAAATTTACTACTTTTTTTTTATTGTGCCAAAAAATTCTTTAAATAATAATAAAATAAAAAATTGATTATTTTTTGTAAAATTAATTAATTTATAAATAAATAAATAAGGTATTATAAATTAATATATAAGTTCATAATAAAATATAATAGTTTAAACTTTTTGGTGTTGGAAGCATCAAAGAGAGTTACTCCATTATAAAAATGAAGTGCTTGGAGATACTTGTATAAAAAAGGGTAAAAATAAGTAATATGTACAAGTGGGTTCCATTGGAAGCACCCAAGTGGAGTTGTTTCATTATGAATGGTCTTAAGTTCTTTGGCTTCCCAATGGAACATGAAGTATATTCATACGAACTGTGGCCTTGGTTACGGGACAAAGGAAATGCTAATAACGCTTTCATAAAATTTCTACTCTGATTTCTAATGTTCTCCTACTTACTATAATTGTCATGGGTGAGAAAATTCTTCCTTCAATTCAATAGTTACATGTCCTACATTTGAACTCAAGATAACCACATAGTGCTGGTTATTCCTTTTGCTCCATAGTCATATATTTCATATCTGATTTTACTTGCAACCATGTTGAATATCTGACTAAGATATACTGAGAAAATTCCTTAACCAATATGCGGAGAGTTTCATGTATCTTTTCAAGCCATCTTTGAAATCCACAAAGACTAATCCAAATCGCTCAGTATAGCCAGAGTCCCACTCCATGTTATCCAGAAACGACCATACAAAATATCCCTTTACGTTCACACCATCCCTTCAATGCAAAAACAGAAGTTTTTATAATAAAAAGGGAGAAAGAAATTCACAAATATAGGATTAATATTACTGTGAATTAAAATGCACAAAACTTGTAAATAATAAAAAGATAGTGGCTCCTCTAATAAAACATTACTTACTTGGTTGCCATTTGAAGGTAATAAAGATATCGATATAAGTAATCAACTCTGTTAGTATCTATAAGGCTTTCTTCAAGTGATAGTGTTGGATCGTTGTACTCATCATAACCTGCCAATTAATTTTGTTACAATTTAATTAGTTTACTTTTGCTATCAAACATTGACCTATATTACGGCATACCTAGAAATATCCGAGAAATTAAAATATGACTGATCTATTACCATTTTCAGTAATGTAAATTACGGGGTTGTTGTACTGGTTCTTGATGTGAAGCAACAGTTCTCGGATCCCACGTGGATAAACGCATAGCCAGTCTGAAGCAGCCTGCAAATTATTAGAGTTCTCAATATTTTCGACATCAGAAATGCTTATAGCTGAAATTTATTAGAAATTCTCATATTTTATTTAATGAATTTTTAAACTGTGAAACTACTTAAAATTTGTTATTTCTAATAAATTTTAACCAATATTAGTGTGTTAGAGAAAATATCACTGTTAATCAACGTATAAGAATTTTGGAATAAAAAAAAAATTAACATGAAAAACGTTGATATGTAACATAGCAGCCAATGAAACGATGAAATACATACAATTGGACCAAGGGGCTTGCCGTCAATCTGACCTGTCATTAAAAAACAAAAACAAAAAAATATGTTTTCATGTATAATTAAACGGAAAGTATAGTAAGTTTGGTTTCAGTAGTGTTTGGGCATTCATTAGAACTGAAGCAACTAGTGCATGTATATAAACAAGTTGATATATATTTACTTGTTTCAGTAACAAGAGAATCAGTCTGTAGGGTTGGTTTGAGACCACGTAGGTGAGGTGCATGGGCAGCATAAGATGTTGAGTAGTGGTTTATGCCTAGAAAATCAAACGACCCCTTTAGTTGCATGGCTTCTTCTCTCGTGAACTTTGGCAACCGGTTTCCCACCAAAACTCGCATGCTTTTTGGATACTCACCTTTTGTGATTGGGTCAAGATACCTATCCAAAATTGCAAAATGCAGATGCAATCAACAATAAGTAATAAACACACACATACATGGTCCACATTCTTCTTACTAAATGGAGTAGTGTTCCAAAAATCATGCCATGATCATACTTTCAAACATAAAAGTTGTCTCTCTGTCGGTATCAGTATTCCTTCCCTTTTAAGCCATGAATAGCTTACCATGCAAAGCTGAAGTCAAGGGCTCGACGTGCAGCTTCTTGATCTGATTTCTTTTCTGAAGCCGGCAAAAACCAGTCAGTATCCAAGGTAATTCCTATTAAACCCTTTTGAGATTTCTGCATACACATTTTCAAATATTTTGGCTATTTAATTTGAAACAATTATGTTTGAATGTAAGTTTAAAAAAACTTTTGATAACTAAAAATGAAAAACTTTTTCTAATAGAAAAACTCTTAAAAACACTTCTAATTTATACCCAAACATGTTTTAAATAATTTGACATAAAACTAAAGCATGGTCCTTCACCATAAAGAAGCTACACATGGCTTTTGTACTGTTAAAACCTTCAATTAGAAAAGTGCAAGTCTCGTGTTATTCAAATTTCTCACATGGAAATTCATTAATTGGTGGGTCTAAAAAGCATTTGGTGATATATATAAAACAGCTCAAGAATAGAGAGAGGACCTGATATTTAGTCTTAAACACTTTGACAGCAGCAGCATGAGCAAGAAGTAGATGATGACCAACCAAATATGGCTCAGTTCCTGAATCACCACCTGTGCAATTCAGTTTTAGCCAATCAGAACACCGACCTGGTGCTTGGTCGCCATATGCATAGCCATACGTGGTCACAGAGCCCGGTTCGTTCAAAGTGATCCAATATTTCACTCTATCACCAAATTCTTTGAAGCAAAGTTCTGCGTAGTCCCTAAAATCATCTCTGCATGTTCATATGAATTATATATATATATATATATATGTTTATCAGTTTACTAAACTTTCCCTCAGTAGTCATACAATGTTTATCAGTTTATTATCATATAGCTCCAGGAGGAAATTGGTGTCACTCACACAATTTGATGACTTAAAAAACCTCCATACTCATCCTCTAAGGCTTGGGGAGCGTCCCAATGAAAAATGGTCACATATGGTTGCAAACCTGCATTACTCACAAATATTATCTATCATTAACAACCATATAGAATGTATGGAATAAAATAAAAAAAATTAACAAATTGCTACCTTTAGCCAGTAGTTCGTTGATGAGGTTATTGTAGTAGTCTATTCCTTTACGGTTCACACCACCACTAAGCTTTCCTTCTGCAAATGATTAATTTATAAGAAGTAAGTAATGTAGCAACTATGGAACACTAACCAAAGAAAAATTGACATGACTTACTTGGTAGTACCCTAGACCATGAAATGGAGAATCTATAAGCATCCAAATTCATGTACTTCATGATTCCAATATCCTCCTAATAAAACATGTGAACCATTCTATCACGACTCTTCATAATACTTATATTTTTCATTCTTTTAAAAACTACTTATGTTGTACTATTATTGAAACCACATATACCTTATACCGATGATATGTATCCTCAGCTACATCTCCATTACTTCTATCTTTTATTTTATCTGCATGCCATTTCATTGATAAATAAGTGAAATTTATTACATACAGCCCAGATTACTATAGTCCCAATTATTTTATACAAGACACAAAATCAAATATAATTAATTTTTTATTGTAAAATAAAAAATTCGATTACTTTGTCACGTAAGTATTGATCGAGACCAAGAACATGCTATGGTAGTCGGAAACATCTAATTATATACACATAGTACAATGAATCTTTTTAATTTTTCAAATGAACCTTAAGAAAACACATGCCATGCATTTGAAAACAAAAATAAATTATTTTAGAGGAGAGATATACGTGGGTATTTATGAGTGAAAGTATCCCATATACTCGGTCCTCTTCCATCTTCCCTTGCAGCACCTTCATACTACACAAAAAAATTATCTATATATCTTAGTGTCTCAATACACATATAGCAGTAATTGATCACAATAACCAAAATCGGAATATGGTTCAAATTAATTGGCAAATTAATACTACTACTAATAATGATTAATATGATATATTATGAAATTAATAAATTGTAAAAACTTTATATTATTTAACTCATTAATTAGTATCGATTTAGCTGTGGGGAGTTTGATATATAAGATTTTGGATTCCATTTTATTGTTTGAAAAACGATATAAAGACTTTGCACGCGGTCTTTTAGTGTAAATTTATTAACTAACATTATAATTATTTGAAAAAGCATGCATGGAATGATTTATGGTTGATTATGTAATGTACATACCTGGTATGCGGAGGATGCTGTTCCAAAAACAAAGCCTTCGGGGAAACTGCTCCGATTGAGAAAAGAAACGTCGAGAATGGGTGAAACGGCGTTGGTATGAGTGATAGTGATGAATGAGGTAACAAAGAGAGACAAAACACACTGCAGCGGAAACATTATGACTTCCAAAGTGAAGTTAATTGTATCGTGCTCTAACACTTACCACCTTATATATATGTAGTTTTATTATTACTAAATCTTCATTCACTTTTCTTTAGATCCGAAAACAGGGATAAAGCTAAGGCCATTGCCTCATTGACGCGTTCGAATTTGGAACTTGAGACATCACAGCAACATCAATCGGAGTTTTCGTTGCCAATCAAAGACTAATTTTCTTTATAGCTGTTCTTTTGTTTTATATCAAAATTACGAAGAATTCTCCCGTATCAAGTGGTACCAATTATTTGGTTTGGATATGTTACTAGTAACTAGTAACTTACCCGTCTCTTATCTCTTATCAAATTCAATGATTTCAAGTGAGGACCAATGTATAGTATAAAATCTACATAGAAGAATATACATTATGGAAACAATGTTAATTAGAAAGCCTTTTAATTATGTTTCCTGGTTTAAAGAAAAAGAAAAAGGCAAGAATATGTAGGGATTGATTTTGGTATGTTTCTAGGAATCATATTACATGTAACTAATAAAACAATGCAAAATAATTAAGCTTCCGACACATCAAAATTCAAGCAAGGTGCTAGAAAATGTACTTTCTCATTTAACTAATATATTAGAGAAAAATCAATCAATTATTGTAAAAACTATTGAATACTACAAGTCACTTTAATCTTAGGAACGACATTGGAACTTTTTATATGTTGTTCCCTTTCTTTTTTTTTTTTTCTTCTTCTTCTTCTTCTTCTTTTTTTTTCTAATGCAAGTACTTTTAGGAGTGTGCCAAAAAAATTTGAATTGAATCTAAAGAAAAGAAAATCAAATTCAACTAAATCATAAAAATTTATTTGTTTTGAGAAAAAAATTTTTTTGAGAGATTTTTGAGAAAAATTATATATTAGTATAAGTTAGAATGTTAGATAATCAAATTTATATATTTTGATAAATTAATTTTGTTTTGAATAAAAACAATTTAATTAATTGAAACACTTTTATATAGCGGTTCGATTCAGCTTTTTGAAAAGAAAATTATATATAAGTTAGATAATGAAATTACCTCAAATTCAACCATTTTAAAAAAGTTGAATTTTTTAAAAAAAAATTAAACAATTTCATTTTATAAAAAACGTTTTAAGTAATCAAATCGATTTTTATAAAATGGTTTAGATCAATTTTTTTTTAAATGGGAAACTTTTGATACTGTTTTACTATTACTAGGTCAAAAAAAGCTTAAATAATAATCAACCGTTAATCATCGAAGGTATTTGACAACTAGGGAAGTGTTGGGTACCTTTGTGTACGATTTTGAAAGCCACTTAGTTGTTTTTCTAATTTTGTTACTTTCTTGATTCTTAGTTTGTGACTTTAATTGTCAAAAACTTTAGGTGCAAGCGTCCAAATTGTGTGACCCTCTTTTTGATAAAATTTTGATAGAGACATGCAATTAAAAGAATATTAAAGCAAATAATAGAGATTGGTGTCAAAAAAGAGATTTGAGTTTATTCTAGTACAGTAGATAAAAATAATATTATGAATTAATTTATTTTAAATCCTTTTAGTTCTCCAATTGTGCATTATTTTGTTCCTAAGAAATTTTTGCAGTTTTGGCCTTTCACATATTTCCAATTGAGTTATGTTAATCCATTGTTAGTTCGCTATCAAAATTTTAACGATTAATTTTTTTTTTTGGTGCACTGGAAAATTAAAAGAAACTACAAACGAAGGTTTTAACGATTAATTTGGAGTCAATGATTAAAGAAAACAGGAGTGGTGAGGCTACAATTCCATAGGTATCTAATGGCCGATCAGCCGTCGGCCACCTGGTTCAGCCTTTCAGGTGCCGATTGGGTGTCGGTCACCTGGTTCGGTCTTTCAGGTGCCGATCGGGTATCGACCATATGGTGGAAATTATCTAATAAAAATTGAGTATAAGAACTAAAACAGGTTTTTTTTAATTATAAAAATTACAAAGACCAGTTTTAAATTTGAGAAACTAAAAAGGAATTTATCTTAAATTTAACTTAACTAAAAATATGTTTAAACTATTTAAATTTATTGATAGAATGAAGGTCGAGGCATTTAATTAATTTCCGGCTTAGCACAACATGTCAATATATTACTGAAATTGTTTAGATTTATAGATAAAATGAGATAAATTAAGTTATCGTTTTTAATGGCCATGACTTAATTATACTTAAATTATTAAACTGAAAAACGGTTTCTTCCTATTATTTAATGAATGATCTGATTTTCAACTTGAAAACCTTTGCTGAATATCAAATTTAACAACTTGTCCTTGTATAGACGAGGAAGCATTTACTTTCACAAGTTGAGTACACAGGATCATTAATTTACATTTATAGATTTAACTTTCCCCGTTTAGCATTGTATATAACTACTTATTAGGAATTATAAAATAAGTTGATAATTTTTTTAAAAAATCTAAGTTGATATTTATTACTTATTTGATTTTAATATTGTATTATACAAAATATTTAGTAGAATATCTATTTTACGAAAATCATACAAATAGTCTAATATTAATTTTTTAAATATATAAAGGCACATAAATATTTCATATTTAAATCTTATGTATAAAAATCAATTTTCTCATATCAACAATATTAGGAATGATAATGGAAACAGAATAGGTCCATTGGGATGGGTAGTAGCTAATATATTCATAAGAAATTTTTCAAGAAACATAAAGTAAAAAATATATATTAAAAAATTGGGCTTGCATTTGATATAATTTTGTGTAAAAAAGTTTGCGCCTGTGTTCATCCTAATTCTTTTGAATTTTTTTTTTTCATTTGACGTTATTTTATTACTTAACTAAATAAACTTTTGATTATATGAAATAAAAAAATCAATAGTTTATTTAATATGTATCAAATTACCAATTTATCAATACAAGTAAAGATAAGTAACCCTAATTACTCAAAAAAAAAAAATGAACTCCTCGCTTAAATTAACACAATTAAATATAAGTAATAATCTTAAGAATAATTAAGTAATATTACATATAGCAGGTAACTACAAAGTATCGATACTATCATACATGTTCTCTTTCTATTTATAAGTGGATAAAAAAAAACTTACATCTATTATTTGTACGTACGAGTGATAATAAATCGAAATAACTATTAAAAAAATGATTTAGAGTTGAATTTGATAATTAATTTGTTGAATTTGATGAGTTAACTTTACTTTAAAAACTGAACTTGATAAATAAATTTGTCAAACTTTAATTATATATAGCTCGATTATTTGATTTCTAAATCGGTTCAACATATAAATATATAATTATATAATTTTTTTTAATTTCATTTTATTAAATTTTAAATGAACTTTTAAAAAAATAGTTATAAGTTAATAATAATGCAAGAAGTGGACATCTTTGGATTTCATGCTTATAGATATTAAGTTTTTAATTATTTTATGTAAAGAAAAATATTTTATTAACGTAAACTTTGGTTGTAATTATAAATTTTTTTTTATTACTGTACCTTGTAGCTAGCCCTGCAAAAATTGTGTTTTGTCTTTTTCAAAAAAAAAATTAATCTAAAATTTATTAATAAATCAAAATTTTAAAATGTATATAATTAAAAAAAATTGACTTTTTCTCCATATAGTTCAAGTTAATAAGTTAAATAGAGTTTGAACTAAAAAAAAAAAAGAGTTTATGTTGAATTCACATTTAATTAAATCAAATCTAGTTGAACTGATCTTAATTCAACCAATTGTGCCTAAATTATAACGGTAAGACAAATTTATACTAGATCTTAATTCAATATATTTTTTTAGTTAAAGTATGCAATTCTATTATTAATATTTTTCAAAAAAGACATCATTTTTTAATAATAATCATAACTTTATTTATTAAATTGAAACATTAATATAAATTGATAGAAAAATTGTGATTCATTATTATCACCTAATAATTTAATTCAATAATAAATAAATTATTAAAAATATAACTTTGATGTCTTAAATAATTTGCTTAAGATAAATTTTTCATTGGCCTTGTAGCTCACACGGCCGTATGTTTCAATTGACTTTTTATTTTAGTTTTTTTTAGAGAAAGAATCACAATTTTCTCATCAAATCATTTATTGATTAAATATAAATATAAAATAAAATATCATTTAAATGATTTTTTTATTTTTAATTATTGAGATATAATATTTTTATTATGTATATTTTAATTACAAGTAGATTAAATAAACTAACCCAATTTAATTGGATTCAAACTTGTTTAACTTACAGACTAACTGAGTTAAGTTGAAAGTAAATTATGATCATAAAAGTTTTAGAAAGTGAGTTAGGTTGAAAATGACTCAAGTTGAAAGTGAATTACGATCAATAATTATGAAGAATTGCAATTTGATAAACGTATGAGTTATACTAAAAAAATATCATTTACTCCCAAAATGGAAAGTTTTAGTTGCTAAGATTGACTTCGTTGCCTAACAAAT